TGAGTATAAATCTTCAGCAAAATAATAGATTTTAGTAAAAGCAGAAGCTTTTTAATTCTATTACTTTTACCATTTAAAGAATCCTGAGGCCTTTGAAAAAATATTGAGGGTCAAACTGTTTTCTTTTTCCTGTGTTTTTTTTTTTTTCATTTCTTTTTAATTTTAATTAGTGAAATAGTGTCAATATATTAAGTGTTAAATATTTAAAACCAAAAATTAAAAAATTAGAAGCTACAATCAATATCATTTTAACTTAATAAAAAGTTTTATTTTTTTTAAATTAAATTTTCTCACTTTTGCAAGTAAAATTTCAACTTTTTTTTGTTTTAATAAAGAAATTAGTCTAATTGTTACAAAAAAAACTTAAAAACAATTGGTACATTGTTTAGTTTTATTGAATATAAAAAATCATGCTGCCCCATTTTTTTAAAGGACTCGGTATACGCACATATGTATAAGCTAAATGCTTTGATAGTGCTAATATATGCAAATGTATGTGTTTTATGCACATACAGATAAAAGATGTTGTTTAAAACTATCAAAATATAGAAATAATTGAAATGTGATATAAAATAAATAATACCTTGGCTAATTGGATGTTTGCAGAATCACTTTCTATTTTAGAAATCTAATAATTTAAAAAAATACTTTTACAAAAAGTTCCAAAACCTATCAGTCATTAACTTATAACAAAATTTCCAATTAAAAGTAAATTTTTGAAATAATAGCAAATGATTGGTATATAGGTATATTGAAAACAATTACCTATATACTAATTACTCATTATTAATTTAAAAAATCCACCATTGAGGTGATCTAGGCTTGACCCGCTAAATCCCAAGTGAACAAATTTACTTACAGAGTTGTAATCAAGTCTTGCTAAACCTCCAATAAATAAGCAACTACCAGGCTGGAGAAGAAAAGTTCGAGGGACAATCCACAGTTCAGGATACAATTTATGCATCTCTTCAACTGTTAAAAATTGAAGTAACTGAAATTTTAAAAATAAAAATAACATTTATATAATCATCTTTATTAAAATATTCAAAAAAGGCAAAGTAATATCTAGCTGGTCTAAAATTATTACTAAATTAGATGTAGTAAACAAAAAAAAGGCATACTTGTGAACTATTGTATACACCAGGTGTATCATAAATAAAGCACTGCTTTTTTTCTTTACATAACTCTTCTTCATCTACTAACTCCACTTTCTTTTCTTTAAGTGCATTTGAGCTCTCAATCAATTTCAATTCAGGTTTTAATTCAGGCTTGTTTACACCAAGAAATTCTAGAAAATTGCCATCAAAACTGTATTCTTTTTCTACCTTTAAAAAATTAAAAATAAAACGAGTGATAAAACATTTTAGTTAAAAGGACATTGAATCACCCTTCTCCCCAACACAGTACTTTTACCTAGAGTAGCATAACATAGTCCATATTTTAGAAGTAAATAAGTAAATTCGTAAAGATAAGATTAAATTAAAAGATAAAATTAAAATAAAAGAGTGAAAACCTTTTATCTTACCAAAAATCTGCTGAATTGAAATACCATAAGAATTGAAAAAAAAAAGAAAAAAAAAGATTACCTCCCATGGACCTTTTTTAAGACGATCTTGTAATCTCCATAGCCTTCTCATTGATATATCCGAACGAAGTAGACTAACAGTTGTGACAGGAGTATAATGAACAATAGCTTGAGGAGGTAGTCTCTTAGACATATGAACATTAAGCATATTTTGAAGCAAATTATAAAGACTTGATTTGCCCACATTAGTGCAACCAACTAAATATATATCCATATCAACCTCTCTATGTTTACTTATTTTTTTAACAAGGGTCTCTAATCCAAAACCAGTTTTTGCACTAATTAGGCATATATCTCGAAAGTTACAACCCTCAAGACCTCTCTGAAAACAAATATGCTTCAGAAGGTCTTTCATTCTTTCTAATTGCACTTCCCCTTTAACACCATGTTCTTTTGGAAAACGATCAATCTTATTTCCTACAATTATAATTCTTTTTCGTTTACCAATATAAGAAAGAACTTTATCCATCAATGTACCTTCAATGTCAAACATATCAACAACATACAAGATTAGTGAACTAGTACTTCTAATATGCATAAGTTGATCAATTATTTCATTGTTTGGAAGAGGGGAAGATAATCTATTATTGTAATGGCGCAATTTAAAACAACTAACACATTGAAGTCTATGCAGCTGATTTTGTTTAATCGATTCCAAAAACTTTTCTTTAACTAGGAACCCATTTTTAAGTGGTTCTGAAGTCTGGAGAATAGAACCACAAGAGGAGCATTTTGGTGGAAGTTTCTCAAATTCATTGGGCCGAACTGTTAAAATCAATTTATGTGGTTTTAGTTGATCAATTTCTTCAGTTTCAAATTTAGCTAAATAAATTCTTTGGGTATAATTAGAAACAACTGTTTTTACACATATTCTTGTTATATGAAATGGTTCATCTAGAAGTGTGACAATAGATGAGTTTCTCAATAAAATTTTATTTTGCAAACAGGATCTAGATAATTTGAACACATTTTGGGAAAACATGACATACACCAAAGAACATACTAAAAACAGTTTTAAAAAGGTTTAATTTTTGAAGCATATGCAGCATTTGGTATACCTAATATTTTGAATAATCACATCATTTTTATATAAATAATACTTGTAATAAATTTAATATTCATTATTCCAAAATACAGTTTAAAATATTGTAATATATTTATTTAAAAACAGTTGAAATTTTATTAATTAAATACGCAATTGTTAGTCAAACTATTTATGTAAACAAAGCTAGAAAAACCCCTATAAAAAAATCTAACAAAAAATAAAATTTTAACATTTAAAATAGAAAATAATAATATTTATAATAGAAAGTAGGAATAATAAACTAAAAAGAATTAAGAATAAAACTAAAAACAAATAAAAAGTTGATTTTATACAAATAAAAAATATTTTATGAAACAATGCTGTAATTCCCCACACCCTCTGCATAGTAATAATATTCTATTTCTTCAAGTCAAAAAATTCAACATTTTAACTTTTAGTTCAGTTTTTTTTTAAATTTGAACAAAAACTTATCTTAGACCAGCAGAAACCTTTAAATGTGTATGGTTAAACTCCCTAATTTCTTTTATTGTCAATTTCCTGATTCCTCCCATATATAAGAACAAAGATGACTACAAATAGTTTGAGCAAAGCATATACTGAGCATGTGTAAAATGTTTATTTTCAATTGAAATAGTATTTAAATTTCCTATCTTTTACGCTTTTAATTTTTTTTATCAAAAAAAAAAATTATATGAAAGTTTCAAAGAATAACAATTAAAATTTTAGAACAGCTAAAGGGTTTAGGACTTAAAATATCAACATGGTTTGTAATTTAAAACACCAACAAGTGTTTTAGTATCAACATGGTTTATAGTTTTTAAACATTAACAAAGTTTATAGTTGAATAAAAAGCGCATAAAAAAAATTAATTATAATTGAAGAATTTAAAAGTATTGTTCCTTAGCACTGGCTAAGACAACTGGTCAAATCTATCTATCATAATAAGTTTATAACTCATGAAATAATCAATAAAATCAGTTGATTAAAAAAAAAAAAAAAGAATCAAGCTGTTTGTTTTAAACACAAATAATATATCAAACAAAAAACAATAAAATGAAAATTTATTTATTTATTATCAAAACATGAATAGATACAATTCATATGAAATATATGGTTTTAATACACAAGTGAAAATAGTAAACAATCTTGGAATCGTGACATTTTAAAAACATTCATTATACTAACCACAAATTTATTTGAAAATTTCAAATTAGAAAAATTTTAATCAATTTTAAAATATAGATAAAATCTAATACAAAAAAAAAAAAAAAAAAAAAAAAAAAAAAAAAAAAAATTAAAGACTTTACAGGGTCAAAGATGAAAACTCAATTAAAATAATTCACCTTTCAATAATTCTATTGACTATAATTTAATTATACAAATGACTAATATGTATTAAAATAACTAAGCATGAAAAATAATAGTAAAGAAACATAAAAATATGTAAATAATTTATTTTATGAAAAACATCAAAACCTTCAGAATACCTATAACAGTTTATTTTTAGGCCATGAAGTAAAACCACCTATAATATTTGTAAACAGTATGCTAATTTATAATAAATAGTATGCAGCTAATAGTAATTGTATTAAAAAACTAAATGCAGCTTAGCTACACAATCTGATGCAGAACTGTGTAGTAAACACTTTGGCACAGCTACATAACAAATGTGATGCCAGTATGTTAGGTTTGGCATATATTATATTTCAGGTGTTGAATTGGGCATAGTATGCCAGCTTTAGCATATATTTTTCTTTAAGTGTTGAAATGAGAATATTTAACAACTTTTTTACAAATTAAAAATTAGCTAAAAGTTTTTAGATGAAACTGTCAAAACTTTGTTGTTTGCAGTTGTTGTTTGCATGTAAAAGTCTTTTTGTTCTTCTCTCTCGCGTAAAAATTCAGCCTCCAACATCTAAAGGAAAAAAATGGACTATTAAAAGAACATAAAAAATTTAATTTTAGCTTACCATCTAAGTTTCTAAAAAGTTCAAAAAATATTTTTTTAAATAAACAAAAAACTTTTATATAATAGTTTATAATTATTTTTTGGAAAAAAAAAAACCTTTTTTTTGGGAACTAAGTTATCTTTCCATTCTTGAAGTTCTGCATTATATTTCATATCTCTTTCTTTGAGCTTTTCGCTTTCACTTTGAACTAACATGTGACGTTTTTCATTCTAAATGGTAAAATTTTCAGATCCAAATCAAAAATAAACAGCTCATATAAACAGAATTTCATTGATGATAAAAACTCTAATAACTTTAAACCTTGTTTTATATAATTAAATAATAGACTACTATTTTATTAATACAAAATGATGCTCTAATGTTTACTTGTAAAACTTTTAGTTCACCAAGTTCTTCCTCAGAAGATTGTTTTAATTCAGACTCTTCCGCTAAATGTCTCATAGTCATGCGATTTAAATCATCAGCATGTTGCTTTCGAATAGCATCTTCAAACTAAATAAGAATTTTTTTTTTTTAAATTCTGCAGTGAATAGGATAATAAACGAAAAAATTTAATTTTAATAACATTAATTAAAACATATTTAATAAAAGTAAATAAATTTCTATTTTTTTATTATAGTTTAATTATATTATAAAAACTATGAAGTATTATTATCATTTTTTGTAGTAATGAAAATAAGATGTAATTTATTTTTGATTGCGATTACTTAAAAGAAATTTTTTTTTTAAAAAATTTTCTGTCTTTTACAATATTTTCTTCAAATATAATAACTCTTACTTTTTAGAACAAGTTTTTTAAAAACTTCATTGAAAGCTGAACCTTTATTTTAAGTGTGATAACCATAACTAATTTTTTATTAACAAATCAAAACATGTTGGCAAAACGTTGTTTTTATTAACATATCTAATCAAAACATATTTTTATTAACAAATCTAATCAAAACATGTTATTGGCACAACGTTGTTATTCACTAAAAATACAAAACTGAAACAATAAAATGATCAGAACTTATTTATCTATACAGCAGCATTCAAACGTTTGCAGACAGGCAAAAAATATATTTAATTTTACTAATACATTAGCGCATACACCACTAAAGCCATCATTTTATATACCAATTAGAAGGTTTTCAGGTTAACAACTATGTTTTGAAAAAATAATGATTATTTAACTAACATTTTAAAATTAGTTTACAAAATAACAATTTTTGATACATTCAAAAGTTTGCAGACAAACTAAAATTTTTAACATTTTCTCCACTAAATCATTAATTTATTGATTTTTTAAACAAATACATTGTGGAAATAATTAAAAAACTTTATTTATAAGTGATTGAGATCATGAGATCTAAGAAATATATCTCATCTCCAGTGAAAAAATTGATCTTGAGATCAGTTCAAAATGGAAACTTGTTTCATCAAACAGCACAGCTTTATGGAGTTGCTAAGTCTCCTATTGGACAAATTATGAAGAGATAGGAGCCTAAAATAAAAATCAATCAGAAAGATCACGCAAAACAACGCATTATCGGATAAAAAGCTTGTGATACTTAACTTGCTTTTGTCACAAAAAATTCTTTTTGGTGACAAAAGCAAGTTTATGTTGTTCAGATCAGATGGAATCAAGTATGTTCCAGGTCCAGTAGGTACAAGATACAATCCAAAATACCAACTGCCTACCATAAAACATGGAGGAGGTAATGTAATGGTTTGAGGATGTTTTAGCTGGGATGGAGTTGGTCCACTCCATAGAATTACTGAGTCTATGAATCAAAAAAAATGCAAAGATATATCTAAGATTATTATGTTACCTCATGCAAAGGATAAAATACTTCTAGGATGGATTTAACAGCAGTATGACAATTCCAAACATACAGCCAAATATGTTTTAGAGTTATTCAAAAAAAGTTAAGGTAATGTTTCAAAGTGCCCATCTCAATCACCTGAATTAAATCCCATTGAACATCTATGGAAACATGTTGACTGTCAAATGAAAAGAACCAATGCTACAAAATATGCTGATTAACTTTATAAAATCAAGTAAATGTGGGACTCCCATAGATGTTTGCATTAATTTAGTTGACTCTATGCCTCATAGATGCCCAGCCATTCTTGATTGTAAAGGATATCCTACAAAATACTAATGTGATTTTGCTTTTATATAAATTTGATTTCAATTAGTGTTGAAACGCTTTGTCCGCAAATTTTTGAACTTATCAAAAATCATTGATTTTTATACCAATTTTAAAATGTTAATTAAATAATTATTATTTGTCAAAACATAATTATAAACTTGAAAATCTTTTGATTGGTATATATATGTTGGCTTTAGTGATGTATGTGCTGAAATATTAGCCTTTTGGACGCTTCTGTATACATAAAAAAAGTGGTGAATATTTTAACAAAATTACATGCATAAAAAATTATATAAAAAAAATTTTTTTGTAATAAAATTTTGAAGCATACAAAAAACACTTCTAATAAATATTACACTATTTATCTATCTATATAAAAAGTTTAAACAAATTCATTTATCTTCTATTAATACTTGCTTAATACCTATATTTAATAATATATCAACATAAAAAAATGTGGATCAAATTTGCTTTATACAAACATTGATCAGTTTAAGTACCTCTTTTAGTTTTTCTTTCTCTCCAGCATTTAAGCCAACAATTACAATAGCCAATGATTCCCTTCTATTTCTTTCAGAGCGCAGTTGCTTTTTTTTAGCCTGCAATTTGGTTCTTAGCTCATTTCGTTGAATCTTGGGCAAGCGCTTACGCTCAAGATCCTGTCTATGCTTTAAATCATCTTCTTTCATTTTGTATAATCGACTATGTTGATCGCACTCCTGTAAAGTAATGTAAATGTAATTAAGATTTTTCTTAGTGATGCTTTATACTTCTTCAACAAACATTAGCAGAATTAACAATATGCACATGTATTCAAATTAGTAACTTTTAGAGTACAACATTAGAAAACTAGAATACAATACTATTGTAAAACAAAATTTTTTAAATTTATACACACATAAAAATGAATGTAAAAATACAAATTTTTTAAAAAGTTTTAAGTTTCATTTTTAAATTTTGTTTTTAAAAGTTTTTTATGTATTTGTCAAATATGTTTTTTAGGCCTAAAAAAGCTTAAAATATATTATGAGATATAAAAAGATCTTTTGTTTTCTTTGATAACTTAAAAATTTAATCATTGCTCCTTTAAATTTATTTTATCAATATAAAACAAGAAAACGATATAGCTATTAAATGTTTGCATTCTTAAAAAAACTTTAGATATAGTTACCATAGATCATTCAGGTCATATTTTAAAAATCTGGAAAATTGTTAGGGTAAAGTATCCAGAAAAAATATGGAATACATTTTTCCCTACTTTCTTATAAATTTTGCTTTTAGCTGAGTTGTTTCTAATCTGTTTTAAGTTTTTCTAAACTTTATTAATTTTTGTATGAATAATTAGTGAAAAAGTTTAAAAACAAATATTAAAAAATATATATACATAAACATGTATGTATGGAAATTGTTTTGTAATGTGCAGTATAAGCGAAAATTATCTCTAAGTCAGTATGTTGTATCAATTCTAGTATTGTAAGGATAATTACATAGCATATAGCACTTTTCTTTACTAAAAATATTTTTAAATTTACAACTATAACACAATTCTTTAATATATACTCTTTCCTCAAGATTAGAAGTGCTTTAAGGATTGCAATGGATATACTTTCATTTTTTTTGACTAGAGACTATATAAAACCTCTCATCATATCAGTATCCTATTAACCTTGATATCTATTTTCCATTTTTGCAAATGTTCTAATGAAATCTCTCACCATACTCCCACCATTTCCTAATAAAACCTCTCATCATAATAACCAATATTAGGAAAAAAATCTAGGTGTGAATGCAAAATATAAATCTTTAGGGGTATAAAATAACCCAGTTTCTTAAATTTTTCAATAAGCTTTGCAACCAGTTGTTGTAATTAGGGTCCACTTGATTTTTAGGAATCCATGAACAATATTCAAAAAGGATAGAGGGATATTTATTTTTATTGTGAAGTAACACTACTTTAAGATTTCATTTTGAACTATCATAGTATATATTATATATATATATATATTTATATATATATATATATATATATATATATATATATATATATATATATATATATATATATATATATATATATATATATATATATATATATATATATATATATATATATTAATAAGATTTCATTTTGATCTATAATCTTTTGTGCAGGATCATGCTTGAGTCTAAGAGAAGTAAACAAATCAGTCACATCTTTACAAATAACAATACTTATACTGATTTCTCTATTTTTATTTTTTGTCTTCTCAGATTATCATTCACTACAGATCCCTCATGAAAACCAAATATCCAATCTATTGCAAAGTTAACATCTACTAAGGTTTCTTCTTTTTATTATGCTTTTCATTTTCTTACTCTAAATTCTACTCTCTACCTCTGCAAACATCTTATTCATTCATGAAATATCTATACAAATTTCTTATTCATCATTGTATGAATTACTGTTTTCATATTTGGGTTAGTACATCTAAAGTTCTTTTTCTTTTTGACAAAGTTCAAAAACGTATTGTAAATGTAGTTTTCTGTTTTTTCTGCTAAGCTTGAGCTACTTTCCCATCGCCGTAAAGTTGCATCTCTTTCTCTTTTCTACAAATACTATCATTATTGCTGCTCAAAGGAGCTATCATCTTTAGTTCCATCAACCAAAACTCTTTCTTGCTTGACTCATTAAACAGCAAAGTCACATTCTTAAACTGTATCAGTCCCTTTAGGCACATCAATGCTTTGAAACTCTCTCTCATCTTCATGTTTTCCCAACTCATAAAATATACAGTTTTTTAAGTCTTCTATCAACCGTTTTCTTTCTATTTAACTATATTCTTTTTTCTCTAGTAACTCCGAACCAGGGTTGTTTGTTTTTTTTTTTAATTTTTCTGGAAAACTTTTTACTAAAAATATCTAGATAAATTTTGGAAAACATTCTCAAGAAATCTCTATATATTATTGCCGATATTTAATATTCTGTTAGTGTTAGTAGTGCTCTTTCAAGCAAGATTGACAGGGAAACCAAGCAATGATTGCAACAGAGAAAATAGCAAGAAAGAGTCAAAGCACTTTTTTCTAAAAGAAAATGTAAACGAAAGTGTATGCAAATATCTAATGCATGTAAACTTCAAATTATGCAATTTTAAAATATACTAAAACACATGTCAAGTTTTACAGCTTTAATTTCACTTGAAAATTACATTGCAGCAACATCTCAGCAACATTGCAGCAACATCTCCTTAATTTTGATCTATAGCATTTATTTCTGTTTTTTATTTAT